CTATGAGGAGAACAACTCTGGCTATAGCGGCAGCCTGCCTTTGCCTGGCATGTAGAAGGTGATGGGGCCTGGGAGGGAGAAGCCATGGCAGGCAGGTACACAGAATGGCTTACCTTGGGGGGGAGGCCCCCTTCATAGGCTGGCCAGCTACAAGAAAAGGCGATGGGACGGCCTGTGGCATTCAGGGCAGCAGCCATCTTGGGATACCCTGCAGAAACCCCAATTTGGTGACTGAGTAGGGCACAGGGGACAGTGTAGGAAATGCCTCCCCATACCTAAACATTTACTTCCTGGGTGCCAAGCTGTAGGCGGTAACTATGGTGCCATTGCATCTTTAGGGGGCCTGGGAGTTGCAAGCAGTGGGTGAGGGATTTGGGGAGACTGCCACTGCTGGATGGGGGGGCAGACTGAGCCCCACAGCTGCTGCTCCTCTCCACATGATGGTCCAGCCAGGCATGAACTCACCCTCTGCACGTTCTGCGTCTGTGGAGTAACAGCCATCCAGCTTCAGCATGTCCACCTTCCACTCGGCGAAGGTTTCGGCATCCAGCTCCACTTTGTCGAGAGTGGTGCCGGGGTAACCCATGCAGGTCATTTTGCCCATGTCCTCATAGATGCCCAGCTTTAGACCCAGGGAATGAGCCTGTGGGGGTTGGAGAGACGTACAGGGGCTCAAGTGAGAACCTCTTCATAGGCATCTTGACAGAGCCCATTCAAACCCCCAACGGCTCCTCAGACACCAATATGGCCCCCAATCTTAGGTGTCTGAATGGCCTTTGATGGCAACAGGAGCCTCGGACATCAGCACGGACCCTGGCTGCAGCAGGGCCACGGACCCAGACATGGCCCTCAGCTGCAGCTCTGGCCCGGACGCCACCATGGCATTGAGATGATGGTGTACCAGACACGGGAGGCCTAGAACCAGATCCGTGACTCATCACAATGAGCATTTGCTACTAAAGCTGATAGGACAAAAGGGCATGCTATGTGACGCACCGAGGCCCCCAGTGCCGCCAGGGCGAATGAAGAAGTGTTGGAGAGGCAGAAAAGGAGAGGTGAAGAGGTCTTTGTTGTTGTTGTTTTGTTTTCTGTTTTTTCGTTTTGTTTTTATTTTTGTTTGTTTGCTTGCTTGATGTGTTTTGTTTTCTTTGGGGGGGGGGGGGTTGAAGGGTCCAGGAGGTGAGCTGGTCACCGAAGGTGAGGTGCCACTGAAGAATTAGGGTGCATGATGTGAAACTCTCAAAGAATCAATAAAGAAATTAAAAAACAAAACAAACACTTCAATGGCTCCCGGGGCTGGGGATATAGCTCAGCTGGCAGAGTGTATACCTAACGTGCACAAAGCCCTGGGTTCTAGTCCCAAACACTGCATGAACTGTGCATAGTGGCAAGCACCTAAAATCCCACAGCATCAAACATTTGTGTTTGTTTGAGACAGGGCCTCTCTAAGTAGCCCTGGCTGTCCTGGACCTCTCTATGTAGACCAGGCTAACCTTGAACTCATAGATCTGCCTGCCACTGGCATGTACGACCACACCCAACTAGCAACCAGACATTTAAGGTTATCCCCAGCTACAGAGTGTTGGAGGCCATCCCGGGCTACACAAGACCCTGCCTCAATGAAATGAAGTCTACACCCTGGGACCAAAAGGCCAGCTGTGGTCATTTTCCTCTAGCTGTCTCTTGCCTTGAGGCCTTTTACTGCCCCAGAAGCCTGATCTCTGGGATCAATTCAACCCGATGCCTCCTCCGGGAAAGGGAGAGGTGTGGCCCTCATACCAAGGGGCAGGGCTGGGGCGGGACTTACATAGTCAGCCAGGAAGGCAATGCCATGAGGGAAGCGCTGGGGATCGGCTATCAGGCGGCCACTGGCATCCCGCCCGCCAATCCAGCAGTCATCGATGTTGAGGTATACGTAACCTAGGTCCCGCCATCCGTCCTGGGCCAGCCGGTCAGCCATCTCCATGAAGAGCTGTTCGCTAGCAAGGGATAGGAGGATGGTGTTGCTCAGTAGCCCAGGCTGTCCCTCATGCCTACTCTTTGCTCTGAGTGTGAATTCTGGCTATAAAAAAATCACACCTCTCCCTAGCCAGTCAATGGTGGCGCACACCTTTAATCCCAGCACTTGGGGGGCAGAGGCAGGTGGATCTGTGTGAGTTCGAGGCCAGCCTGGTCTACAGAGTGAGTTCCAGGACAGCCAGGGCTACACAGAGAAACCCTGTCTTGCAAGACCAAAAGGAAAAAAAAAAGAAATCATGTCTCTGCTATCAGCTGAGGACTAGGCTAAGATAAGAAGAGTAAATGACTCCCAGATTGTGTCAGGGTGGGGTGAAAAGGGTGGTCTGGCCCCTAGGCCAAAGGGCAGGACTAGGCCAAGGGAAGCATGTGAGGCCTGACTGGCCTTTTATCTCGTTTCAGTTACTTCAGGGGCCAGGTCCACCTCAGGGTCCCTACCCACTGAGGCCCCACTGAGGCCCCAGGTAGGTCACGGGGTTAGGTATCAGCCTGCAGTCTCTGCAGGCTTGGTGATTCTGACCTTGTACTTTTTGCTAGTGAGTGTCCTCCATCCCCGACCCCCATTGTGTTGCCCCGGGTGTACAGATCTTACTCACCTGATGCAGTTCTTTGGGTCCTGGTCACAATCAATGTTACATCGGAAACGTTCCCAGGCCAGCCAGCCCATGGGTGGCGTTCGCAGAAGCCCATTCTCCAGCATCAGCGCCTGGGTCACCAGGGCCAGGAAGAGCACTGGGGGGAAGGTGGACGGTGACTTTGTATGTAAGTGGCTCCCACAGTCTCTCATCCTAGTCCTCACCTCACCCCACTCCCACTTTGCACAGCCCAGTGGGAACTAAGACTATCCGGTTCAGGTTAGAGTTGGGTCAGCCTGCAGTTGTGGGGAAGGTATGTGGGTCAAGGCAACGTGCTCAAAAAGCTGGGCCATCCACTTGCTGTTGCCACAGGCTGGGAATCAACATAACTGGCCCCTGAAGTCATGTCCTTGATATATGTGAGACCAGATCCCTCCTTCTCTTCCGACACAGACGTGGCAGCACATTGTGGACAGAGAGGTTTCTGAGGCCTTGCGGCTCTTTGCTCTCCACCTCACAAAGCCTCGGAAGGGCCTGACGAGGTTGGTCAGGCTGGACTCACCTACATGAGCCCTTTCCTCTTGGGAGTTCAGTATCCCTACATGTAAGTTACTGTACCCACTTTACAGGGATGCTATGGCAGGCTGGTACCCGGTAGGATGGGCCTCTACACTGGAGCAGGGCTGAGAAAGGAAGTGCCCCTCTTTGGAGGGGAAACGATTCCTGGGTGGGGAGCATCTCCTTGCTTTTCCTGACCCGGTTCCAAGAAGAAGAGAGGAAGTGTTCTCCCCACATACCTACATCAAGAAAGAGGAATAAGTACCAGACAGAGAGGCCTGGGGCTCCCCCTCCACACCTCTCCCCCCCCAAAGCCACCCCAGTAGGTTGTGGGTACCTGTCTTCCGCAACATTGTCTTGGAATCAACTCTCAGGACCCAACCGAATCTTCTCTGCTCAGATCAGCTTTATATGTTGAACTGTGGAAGACAACATGGTAAATGTCTCATCGGGCATAGTGGCGCACGCCTTCAATCCCGGCACTCGGGAGGTAGAGGCAGGTGGATCTCTCTGTGAGTTCCAAGCCAGCCTGGTCCACATAGCGAGTTTCAGGCCAGCCAGAGTTGCATAGAGAGACACTGCCTCAAAAAGAAGAGTTATGGCCGGGTGTTGAGGCGCACACTGTTAATCTCAGCACTCTGTGAGTTTGCGGATAACCTTGTCTGCATAGTGAGTTCTAGGACAGTTGTGGTATCAAGTCGCTTTCATCACCGTCACCCTTTACCCAGCCATCACTTCCCGGAGCCTGGGCTCTTCCTTTAGAACTACACTGAGCCCAGGACGCCGTCCTTTTACCAGATCAGTGCCAAAAACGGCATGACTGGTTCCAGGAAGCTCCGGAAGAAGGGAGGCGTTGGGCCCTACCAGGCTCCGGATCCCCATGCGGGATCCGGGTTCTCTGCCTCAGCCCTCAAGATCCCAGGTCCAGGGTCGCCTTTGGTCCTTACCTTCTCGCTCGCTCGCTCGGTCCGCTGTGCGCTCACCCTCGAGAGCCCCCAGCCGCTGCCACACGTACCTATAGCGACCCAGAGGCGGGGCATCGCGGGGCAACCCTTCCGCAGCAACCAATCAGAATCCCCTAGCAACGCCGTGCCCTCCCTCTATGCCCCAGAACCCAGCCTCCATAAACTCCGCCCATTTAAGTTCGCGTTCTGCGCGCTCCCGAGGCGCGACCCCGGAGGAATCGGCTCCAGGACTCTGTGCGCGCTCGGCTACGCGCGCGTCTGATTGGTGTCCTCTGTGCTCCGCCCCAGAGGGCGCGGGTGGTGTCCCCTACTGCTCGCTCTCAGTAAGTGGCGGTGCAGTGAGTTTCTACTGAGGGCGAAAGGAGACAGCCCAGAAACCTGGCCCTTAACTGCTCAAAACCGGTAGTGAGGAGGCTGGGTGGGATTTCAGCCCTCGAAGAGTTAGAAGGCTGTCCCCTCCCCTCCATCTGACACCCAAGGGGTTATTCGCCCACCTACTCCCCAAATTCATTCATTCAATTATTTATGGAACATAGGCCGGTGCCAAATGCTATTTCTGGATGCCTTCACACTGATGCTGATCATCACCGGTCCCTAACGGAACAGTGCCGTCTTCCACATCTCAGGCAAACTTACTTCTCTGTGCGGCAGCCCAATGCTCAGTACATTCTACTCTTTTCCTTGTCCTTCACATATAATTCTCCCCAAATCCTGTGCTCTCTACCTTCGGACTTCACCCCTTGTCTCACACTGCGAGGCTGGGCTCATCATATATTGTCTGGATGATTCACAGAAGCCCTTCAGGGACCTCCTGCTTCCCGCGAAGGTTACTTTCTCCACAGCAGCCAAGGCAAAACCTTGAAAACTCAGCTCTGTGGACTGGAGAGATGGCTCAGTGCTTAAGAGCGCTTGTCGCTCTTGCAGAGGACATGGGTTCGGTGTCTGGACTCACATGGTGATCAGGGGATCTGACACCCTCTTCCGAACTCCGAGGCCACCAGGCATGCACACGGTGTACACAGACATACATGCAGGCAAAACACTCATACATGTAAAATAACCTAAAGAGAACCCCAGCCAGTCCTGGCCACGCCTCTCTCAAGCCCATGTTTGTCTACTCTCTTAGTTTGGAGCAATGGCTTTTCCAAGCCCCGCCCTCTACCTTTTGGTCCTGTTTCCGGCTGTCACCTTTTCCTCATTGACCTCCTTGTGGCTCTTCCAATACAGTAGCCCTGGGGTGGGGTGGGGGTCCTTTGGACTAGCTGTCCTCTCTGCCTAGACTGCTGACACCCTCACATCCCGTAATTATTTGTCAAAGTGAGGTCTACCCGGGCCATTCTATTTAAACCACAAGCTGCGCACCCTGAGAAGCCCGTGCTCTATTTCCCCAGGCAATTTTCACCTTGTAACATTTTCACTCTAGACGATACTATTAATTGAAGAAAAGTTGGTAAACAACAACAATAACGAAGACCCACTGCACCCCACAAGAAACCATCCAGCGCAACTCAAAGCAGGGTGTAGCCTAATGCTTCTCTCTCTCCATTGTGAGGTCAGGCAGGGGAGGGACCTCAGAGCTGAGACCTAAATGTCAAGGAGCCCTGAGGCTAGCGGTGGGGGTAGGGTGAGAAGAAAGGGCCCCCTCTGGACTTCAGGAACTGCAAAGCAGAGGGTGAGGTGAGAACCCACAAGCTCCTGGGCAGGCATTTGAACGCATTTGCCTTCAAGGGCTTCTGGGAATCCCGCCTGCTTTCCCGCGGTCCTCCCTGCAAGCCTTTGGATGGACAGACACCAGGTAGAGCCTCGGGACCAGAAGTGGACTGCAGACCCGCACCGGCGGGTGATAGAAGCCGTAATGGCCAATTTCGAGAGGCAGAGACGGGGCCGACCCAAGGACGTGGTTGAGAAACTCGGCAGGTTTTGCAGGCTCTGTAGGAGCTCGCCCTAAGAAGCGCCCTATCTGATGACTTGCCAGGCTTGGCTCTGCCAGGGTGGGGTGGTACTGGATGGCCGATGAGTGGCAACTTTTGTGGGGAAAATAGGACACCCGAATTCTTCTTCGGTGGTGGGCTGGGGGCCTGTGGGTAGCCTGAGGTTTGTGCTCGGGATTCGAGGCCATCCTTCACCGACAAGTCCTGCGACTCAGGCCGGTCCCCACCCTCCAGGGCCTCAGTTTCCCTCCGGTGTGCGTGCTGAGACGACTTTGCAGATCCCAAGGCCTGGTGGGTACTGGGCGGGGAGAGGCCGGGGCGGTAACACGAGCTTCACGGGCGGGGTCTCCCGGCTCCAGCGGCCACGTTTGCCGCCCGGGCGGAGGCTCGGGATTCGGAGCAGGGGGCGACCGCATCGCACCCGACGAGCCGGGCTCGGGTTCTGGAGGTGAGAGAGGAGGGCCGGGCGGGCTCCGGGAGGAGGTGATCTGGAGGGCGTGGCTGTGGACGTGGCTGGAGAGCCCGGGCGGGATCCAGGGACCCAGGCACCAGGGCCGTCCCAGGGCGAGGCCTCATCTCCAGGCGCTCGTGGGCTCGGCCCCTCGGTGGGGCCCACGAAGGGCTGCGGCTAAAACGGCTTCTTCCTCTATTCCGGGCCTGCTTGCTTCTCTTTGGAACCCTTCTCCTTCCCCTCGCCCATCCTGGCTGCGATTTCATCACTGGCTGCTTAAGTCATTATTTGTTTAACTGTATTTGCTTACTGCGTGTCTCTCCAGCTGCAAAGTAGATTTCAGGAGGACAGGGACCTAGTTTTGTCCACTGATGTATTCCCATGAATTCAACAAGTCTGCACAGGGCTGATCATTGGAGCTTACCGGGCAATCAAGCTTAAGTGATAGACTGGGCAATTAAGCTATGGTGATAGACATCCTGCAAACAGGGACAGTGATAAATGAAAACATTGGCGATGGCGGCAGGGGGTGGGGGGAGTTGGAGAAAGGGACAAAGCCAGAAATGGAGGACTGCTGGCCCGCTGACCTTAGAACAAGCCACTGTGGATAGATAGAGCAGCAACCAGGAGAGGTTTCTGCCGTACTATGGTAACAAGTGCTAGAAGGGAAAGCCTTGGCTGGCACTTCACTGACCTACCTAGCCCCAGAGGGCCCATAGCTACAGTCAAGAGACTGTGGACCGAGACACAGAGGAAAGCTCAGTTGCCCCGGGGTGGGGGGGTGGGGTGGGGGGGTGAGTGGGGCATTCAAACAGGGAGGCAGGGCTTCCTGCAGGAGGCTGCCCTCTCAGTGGGCCCTGGCGTTAGAACAGCAATTCTCACGTTCTTTGAGAACTGTGTTGCAAGCTCCCTGGGTGGCAAACATGTGGCTGAGCTGTGTGGTTAGATAAGAGGCCACCCTGTCCCCTCTGTAGGCTTTTCTGATAAGTGTGTCACCAACAAGACCCCACCTAGAAAGTGTGAGACCGTGTGCAGCTTCTCCTTCATTATATGACCCCTGCCGGTTCAGCTGCTCTCTAAGGAGCCGTGGCGCAAGAGAATTGGTGGGTATATATGTCTTCAGTGTCCCCAGTGCCAGTGGAGTTTATAGAGCGGGTCCCCTTTGACCCGTCACTGGCTGGTCCTTCTGCCTCCATGTGGCTCTGAAATCACAGGTTCTTATTAAGGTGGGCCGGACACCACTGAGAGACTGGTAGGGGCCCAGGAAGGTCATGGGACCTGAGTGAGCATGGCAGCAGGTGTGCAGTCCCAGGACTGGGAAGGTGGAGACAGTTGGATCAGCTCAAGAGCATCTTTGGGTACATAGTGAGTTAGAGAGCAGCCTGGGCCACCTGAAACCCTGTCTTTAAAAAACAAACGAGCAAACAAAAAACCACCATGCCGATGTCCTGCCATTGTTGTAGACTATTACTTTAAGGTGTGCTTCTTTTGTTTATGTTGCATTTGTTTAACCCTGTGAAACTGTGTTACTGTGCCTGTCTAAAACACCTGATGGTCTAATAAAGAGCTAAATGGCCAATGGCAAGGCAGGAGAAAGAATAGGCAGGGCTGGCAGGCAGAGAGAATATATAGAAGGAGAATCTGGGAGGAGAAGAGATCTAGGAGCCAGAGAAGGAAGAGGACTCCAGGGGCCAGCCACCCAGCCACACAGCAAGCCACGGAGTAAGAGTAAGATGTACAGAAATAAGAGAACGGGAAAAGCCCAGAGGCAAAAGATAGATGGGTAATTTAAGTTAAGGAAAGCTGGCATGAAACAAGCCAAGCTAAGGTCGGGCATTTATAAGTAAGAATAAACCTCCATGTGTGATTTATTTGGGAGATGGGTGGTGGGTCCCCCAAAAGAGCAGAAACAATATTTCATTCTTGTTCTCCTGATATAATTACTGTCTTTTCTGTTACAGGTTTTTGATATCCAGGTTTTTTTGTGTGACCAGTACCTGACCTTTGAGATGAATGGCAAGGAAGACTAGTCAGTCTCCTTCACAGATGAAGTCTGAGAGCTGCAGTAGGAGCCACAGGACTGGGCTGCAGGCCTTCTGAGCTACCACCCCTCTCTCTCAGCCATTCTGGTGGGAGCCATGAAGCTGAACAAGAGGAGTGTGGCCCACTATGCTCTGAGCGATTCTCCAGCGGACCACACTGGCTTCCTTCGTACTTGGGGAGGACCAGGGACCCCTCCTGCTTCCGGTGGTGCTGGCCGGAGATGCTGGTTTGTTCTCAAGGGCAACCTACTGTTCTGTTTCGAGAGCAGAGAAAGCCGGGCTCCTCTGAGCCTGGTGGTATTGGAGGGCTGCACGGTGGAGCTGGCTGAGGCTCCTGTGCCCGAGGAATTTGCCTTCGCCATTCGCTTTGATGCCCCTGGAGTGCGCCCGCACCTGCTGGCCGCGGATGGCCAGGTTGCCCAGGAGGCCTGGGTGAAGGCCCTGTCCCGAGCCAGCTTTGGCTACATGCGACTTGTGGTACGAGAACTGGAGAGCCAGTTGCAGAATGCCCGGCAGAGCCTGGCCTTGCATCGCTGTGCATCCCAGAAGTCTGTTGCCAGCTGCAGTAAGCCTCAGCCTCCGGACCGGCGGGCTCCGGGCCCTGAGAATGGCCACCTTCTCCCCAGGGAACGAAACTCCAATGGTTCTGTGGAAGAAAGGGGGAGCAGGCCAGTGGGTCGGGATTTGACTGAGTGGGAGTTACAGGGCCCTGCCAGCCTCCTCCTAAGCCGGGGACAGAGCCCTGTGTCCCCTGAGACCTCCTGTTTCTCTACCCTGCATGACTGGTATGGGAAGGAGATTCTGGAGCTGAGGCGAGGATGGCAGCAGAGGGCCAGTGGGAGCCAGCCGGAGAGCAAGCAACAGAACAGCCCCTGAGGCAGGACCTCTGAGCTGTGGCCCTGTCCTGCTGGTTGGGATGCTGGGGTCGGTACTTCAGGAGTTAAATGTTTACTCACTTCCCATGGTGTGTGTGTGTGTGTGTGTGTGTGTGTGTGTGTGTGTGTGTGTGT